CCAAGATTTCAATTTCAGTGACAAAACAACCTCGAAACTGGGGCAAAAAGTGAGTAAAGGTGTGCACTGGTAAGACACATCGAATTAGGGAGACCCACCCCGGTGGGCGGGGCGTTCTCCGGAAAAGCAGTGCTTTATGAAAAATTTCATAACTCGGTTGGGAGAAAGCCTACAGAGCAGAAAACAAATTGGTGTAGGGGAGCAATGTCTAAGGTGTTCCCAGCATACATGACGTGGGCGGAGGCCCGCCCACAATGGGCGGAGCGCGCTCTGAAGTGTACAGCATTTTCTACAAGTCCTCATAATTCGGGCCGGGGAAGTCTTAGTGAGCCGGAAAAAGGTGGATAGAGGTGGGTGGAGGAGTGGAGGCCAGCTGTCATCGGTGGGCGGGGCTTGACCAAAGTGGGCGGAGTTTGCGACGAAAATTCATAACTCGGCTCCAAGAAGTCCCGGAGGCCGGGAAAAAGGTGGATGGAGGTGGGTGGAGGAGTGGAGCCCAGCTCCGGTGGGCGGGGCGTTCTCCAAAAAAGCAGTGCTTTATGAAAAATTTCATAACTCGGTTGGGAGAAAGCCTACAGAGCAGAAAACAAATTGGTGTAGGGGAGCAATGTCTAAGGTGTTCCCAGCATACATGACGTGGGCGGAGGCCGCCCACAATGGGCGGAGCGCGCTCTGAAGTGTACAGCATTTTCTACAAGTCCTCATAATTCGGGCCGGGGAAGTCTTAAAGAGCCGGAAAAAGGTGGATAGAGGTGGGTGGAGGAGTGGAGGCCAGCTGTCATCGGTGGGCGGGGCTTGACCAAAGTGGGCGGAGTTTGCGACGAAAATTCATAACTCGGCTCCAAGAAGTCCCGGAGGCCGGGAAAAAGGTGGAGAGGTGGGTGGAGGAGTGGAGCTTAAATACCATTGGTGGGCGGAGGCATGTTCCAAAGTGGGCGGAGTTATCACGAAAATTCATAACTCGGTTCCAAGAAGCCCGGGAGACCGGGAAAAAGGTGCATGGGGGTGGTTGAAGTAGTAGAGCTAGAATATTATTGGTGGGCGGAGCCACCCAGGAAAATTCCCGGCCTCCGGGACTTCTTGGAGCCGAGTTATGAATTTTCGTCGCAAACTCCGCCCACTTTGGTCAAGCCCCGCCCACCGATGACAGCTGGCCTCCACTCCTCCACCCACCTCTATCCACCTTTTTCCCGGCCTCCGGGACTTCTTGGAGCCGAGTTATGAATTTTCGTCGCAAACTCCGCCCACTTTGGTCAAGCCCCGCCCACCGATGACAGCTGGCCTCCACTCCTCCACCCACCTCTATCCACCTTTTTCCGGCTCATAAGACTTCCCCGGCCCGAATTATGAGGACTTGTCAGGCAAAGGGTCATCCTACAACCTACCCCTTTTTCAGAATTCACCTCCTGGCGCTCATGTCCTTTTGGGGACATTCAAACAGAGCATTCAAAAACCGCTGGTAGGTGAATGCAGGACTAAGCCCAGGACTGGGAATAAACACCAGGTAGAACAATGGTTGCCCACATCCTCTCCCAGAATCCTTTCTTCTCTTTAAGGCTTAGTCCCGAGTTGTATTAGTGGCTCACTTACATAAATGTCCCCCCTAAGGACATGAGCGCCCACCTCCTTTTTCTATTTCATTGAGCAATTTGAAAACGATTCCGCGATTTACTTTAACGATGAAGCTGCATCAAAACTGCTTGCACCTTCTCTTGACATGTTTTTACATGAGAGATGGCTCTGGAGGAGACCGCAGACGACGAGCGTACACGCCCCCTGCCCACTGGGCGCGAACCCTGCAGCCAAACCGTATGCTCGTCTGGGCTCTCCTCGCGAGAGAAATCCTGGTTGTGACAGAGTTTTGTAACAGCAGGGGCGGTATTCTCGTGGTGCGCCAGGCGGGAATATCCCTCCTCTGATTCAATCTTCATAGTGCCGATGTCAGAGTCTGCGATTGGAGCGATCGGTCAAATGCCAATCGCGCGACCATCGCGCGATTCGCGCGACGATCGCGCGATTGACATGAGTCCCATCATGACCAATCGCTCCAATCGCGCGATGGGCGCGATCACTCCGTTGTGGCTGGCGCGCCCCCTCGATCGATACGTTGACTGAGGTATCGATCGAGAGGGCGCGCCAGCCACAACGGGAGTGATCGCGCCCATCGCGCGATTGGAGCGATTGGTCATGATGGGACTCATGTCAATCGCGCGATCGTCGCGCGAATCGCGCGATGGTCGCGCGATTGGCATTTGACCGATCGCTCCAATCGCAGACTCTGACATCGGCCATTGCTCTGGGGGAAAAGGGTTGCGGTAATCGGGACTCGCATACCTCTGTGTTTCTACCTGCCAGACAGTTAGAGCAGCGCGACCCCTCAGGGGAAAGAGTGCTTCATCAGTGGAGGGTAGTAGCGCTGCTCTAACTGTCTGGCAGGTAGAAACACAGAGGTATGCTAGGTCCTATGACGCAACCCTTTTTTGTCCCCCCAGAGGATTGAATCAGAGGAGGGGGATATATCCCCCTGGGGGAAGGATTGAATACCGCCCACTGTGTGTTGATGATCAGGGTGACGTGGGAGCAACCTATCTAACTACTTGAACTTTGAACAAATATTCAATGATTATAACTTCCTTCAAACATGACGAATTTCATTCTGAAAACAGTTTTGGGAGTATTGTGAACAGCTTCTTTCTATATATAGTATCAAAATCACAAAAATCTATTAGAAATAACAAATTTAGATCAATTAAAGGAAGTGGTCACGATAATTCTCATAGGGACGATAAGGAAAGCTGTGTACTGGAGTGGATAGGGGTCCTGCCCAATGTTAGAACACGTGAAGTTTCAGTGGCAGTGGCGCCTTATCAACGGAGTGATAAGGCGCCGAAATCCACTTCCGTTCAGCAAAAACCAAGACTTATCGATGTGGAAAGGGGTGCGATAAGAGCGTGCTAGATATGATACCGTTATCGTTATCGTCCCGTTTTCATTCTGGAGTGCACCTCTTATCAAGCAGCCGCACCTTCTTATCTCATCGTATCATATCTTCCATGGGCTTACACTCGTCCAACAATTACTGCCTCACACCTTATCGATTGATAACGCGAGGGTAGCAAATCCAGCGTGGAAGCCAGCGTGATCGCTTCCTTTAACGGGGAAAATTCATGACGAGCACGAGTTTTTACACTTTCCGAAGCCATAACTTGCTTCATTTTCGTCAAATCCGAAAAGTTGATATGTCATACAAAACTAGAAGATTTTCTCTATCAAACGGTTGCTAAAGCAGCTTCATACGTCCAGTATTCAAAAAATGGCCACGTTGAGGATTTTTGCAAAATTAACGAGGAAAATTCGTGATGAGTGCGAGTTTTTACGCTTTCCAAAGCCATAACTCCGTTCAAACTCATCCAATCTGAAAAGTTAATACGTCATCATAAACTAGAAGATTTGCTCTATCAACGTTACTAGAACTGCTAAATACGTTCCACTATTTAAAAAATGGCCACGTTGAGGATTTTTGCCCGAGTACCGCCGAAAGGTACTTTTTCGCTACATTGGCACTATTTCAACGACTATAGCTCCTTTCAGGGGCGATTACATACTAAAGTAGGAGCAGATTCGAAATCCTCGTGCTTTTCTCTTTCCAAAAGTGTAAAATTGTTTAGCGTATCTCAACTTTATTACATGCTTGTGAATTTGACGCTGAAGGCTGCGTTTCTTGTTGAATGGTGTACTCCTCCTGTAATTTCACATGAACCCTTTCAGAATCCTCTTGATTTTTCCTGAATTGAGATTCTTTCTCCAGAGAGCCGTAGTTGAAGCGCGCGCAACCAACTGGGCCCACTCTGGGATGCGCCGTGTGCTTCACATCCCTTCAGATTTGAGGACTCACTTGAAAGATAAAATATCCCTTGGAAAACGTGCGAATTTCGGATTCTTTAACTTGTGTGGTGATAAAACACTGAAGTAACTAAGAATTGCTAAGCGGACACCTCTAGAATCACGAAGATTTTGTGTGGGCGGAATCAATTGTTATTGGAAATACTCTGGCCTGGCATCGACTTCGATCCTTGATGTTTGTCCTCCGACGATGATCCTACTGTATCAATCGGGCCCGATCTCTCCCCAGCGGGCCAATACGACCCCCCCCCCCCTGTGACATGTCGAGGATTCCTCAACGCACGCTTGACCCTGATTGGGAGTCCGCGTGGCACAGTGGCGGGCAGCGAGCTCCGTAAGTCCCCGTTCTACCCTCACGCCGACACCGACGCCGCTCCTAAGCAGGGTTGACCCCGATGCTCTTTAGCTTATGCGAGGAGCAAGGCGTCTGTGCTAGCGCGAAAGTGGGGGAGCAATCTTAAAGGAGACGTTCATAGTTTTCGTGCCTCAGAGCGTGCGACCGCGCCAAAGTCGTTCAGCACTTATAAATCACGACACTTCTATAGCAATCCTTGACGATGTTCAGTATACTCAGCCTCGCCTGGAGGGATATCCTTTAAATTCGTAACACTTATTGACCGCGCTTGGGATAGAAACTGCATCGACGGCACCATTAGAAATAAAGGTAAGTGCGGTACAACTTCAGTGCTGTTTTACGCTACCACTACAGTTAATCTTCATATCTGGAACTGAGACAGACGGATTACCTCCTCAATCATATCCTCATAATGGTAAGTGAGTGGTCCAACGTTCAGCCAAATTCCTCCTGGCTTGAGAATCTTATAAATAGTCTCTGAAAACAACCGCAATTTGCCATAAAATAAAGGAGAATCTTTTGCACATGAGCCCACAAACCGATTTATCCTCATTCACTGACAAATGATCAGATGAAAAACTAGTCAAACAATCACACTCCTTTTCTTTGGTTGCTGCAAATGCTTTTGTAGTGGGTAACGTGTAGAAAAACGAAAGACGACTAATTAAGAAGACGACTTATTTTCCCTGGACTTAGCCGGAAATTGTGGAAATGCTGAAAACGGGAAAAGAAAGCTTTTTGGCATGCATTTCCGTCCGACATGCCCATTTCCTTTCCGTCAAATTTACCACCTCAAGCCAGTTTTTGAGACTGATGGCAAACTTTTATTGTAGACCGACTATTTTGACAAATGCGGCACCCTCAGCAAGCTGGCTATCACTTAGCCAAAAAAGGTAAAAGATGTTCACATATATCCATTTCTCCCAGACTTTGAATTCCTTCGAAAACAATCTTGAGAACGAACGCGGTGGTCGGAATAATGGGGGCTACGACGTGCTAAAATTCCGCACTTCCTGTGTTCGTGAACCCTTGTTCATGTCCCAACACCAACCTGACCGGGTCTCTACCGATGATTTTTTGACAACAACAATTTCGCAAAGCAAACACAGGCAAAGTGCTCTGTGTATTGGAGGGTTATTCGTGAAAAACAAAACTCAGTAGAAGACTACCTATATAATCGATTATATTCTTGGCGGTGTCGATGAACCATGCAGTAGTCACACAATCGAAATGTGATGACCTCGATTGTGTTATCTCCAAAAAGTCACCGGCGATCATCGAGAAATTTGGAGGGGCCTGAAACGTAAAATTTAGAAAGTATCGTACACACTCACATTACGCCAACGTTCGATGTCAACAATATTTTTCACAACTTCGCCTACGATCCTATTGAATAAACACATATCCAGCGAAAATGATCCTGTCCCAGTTTTCACTAGCTCACATGCTTTTTGGACAATGAATGATATTATGCGGTAATTACTTTATGCCCATGCTACTGCAGCCCTCTGAATGTCCGTGCTCGCTGCATTCTTCCACATTTTCACATGAATCACCTCATGTGTACTGCAGTACAGCTCTCGTGATGTTAACTTTGAAGTGCCAAAGAAAAAGCCGTATCAAGTTGAAAAACAGTTACCTCGTTTCTTGACTTGCCAAGATCAGGAAAGTATACAGGTCTCGTCTGGTCTTCGTAAGACCAAGAATTGCTCTTATCCAACGCGTAAGGATATACTACATGCTCCTCTGGCTTAACAGATGCCACATTATTCGAAACTGATCAAATATGAAAGAGGATTGATCACCTCGAAGCAAGCATTCAGGAGGAAAGAGGAGGTCATCAACATAACCATGCTGAACTCATTCCCCTCGACGGTGAAACCTTCTTTCGCAAGTTCAAACGCTAGACGACCTACAATGAAAGTTGCGAAAAAAACAAGCATGTCATGTCAAAAATTTTGACGAACCAAGCCCAGAACCAGGAACCATTATTTTTATCGAGCTGCGCTCACTGGTAGATGAATAACGTTCTCGAACAATATCCAAAAGTGGTTTATATGTAGCATCACGTTCCGGTTTTCCTGCATAAGAAAGAGGAATTGTCTACACTGCACTGCACAGGCCATTTACTTACCTTCAGTGGTCCACTCTCGCACTATCTGACGCAACACGCTCAGAACTTTGGACATGTAATGAGGATCCGGACGTCTGCAATTGATAATTAATTGAAGCCATGAAAAGATATACAAATAGCAGAACCACAACCGTTTTTGACGTATCCTTCTGGTCTTAGTCGCAAATTCTTCCCCAAAGACACTCAAACCATAGCTTATGATTTTCTTCAAAATCCTGAAGTAAACAATCCAAATTCATATGGGACACCAGAACTACAAATGACTTACTCTTGGTTATGATCTACGCATTTGAGCACATTGCGCATGTGTTCATTATGGGACTTCAGTATTATTTCCTTGTGAGTGGGGGATAGCTTTCTGAAAATTATCGTGAGCAAAAGCATAATTCTCGACTGATAGAAAAGAAGTAGCATAAAGATCTACTATATGTTTACGCACAGAGTGCGTAGTGAAAGGCCACCGCCCGACGTCGCACCCACCTACAATTCAGATGCGCCAAATAGGTACGCTCTGCTACGCTGGGCCACGCTCAGTCGCGAAAGTCAGCGAAACCAGCAGCCTAAGTAGGCGTGTCACCGGAAATGACCTTGCAGCCAACCTGATACAAGTCGTGCGGACAAGCTGATTCTGTTTCTGACAAGAGGAATTCTGACATCAGCCTACATCTCAGCAAATCATACTTTTGCCACTTGCTGCACAACTTTCAACTGAAAGTGGACGCGACATCGCACGGCGACCTATTGCTGCAACCCATCTCGTCAAAGAAAACATCATAATGAAATGTTACATGGAAAGAGTAGGCTTGCTAACTTGAATGACATCATTGTTCTGCACGCCATCTCACGACCATACAGACCATAGCACAGGAATGCATTCAGAATCTTTTCAGCCTCTCTGATCTCACCGTCCACATCGCTTTCTTTACATCTCTCATTCTTAACTAAACTAACTCAAAATGCTGCTAATGAACAACGATGCTATCAACAGTCATAGGACTTACCTGATCAGCTTCACAACAGCTTCCGCTACTGCACGATGGGTCACAGGCGGACATGGTTTGCGTGCAGAAGCAAGGAAAAATGTACAAAGGGTGATCCTGAGAAACTAGCAAAGTAAAAACGGTAACGCCTTCTGATTTCTCACAGAAGATGCCATAGCTATTAATAAAGATCAACAGCTACAATATTGAACAAAATAGTGTTATGCGTATTATGCAAGACTCGGCTTTTCCCGCGTCAGAGTAGGAGCATTAGCGAAGCGTAGTGGGTCAACCCGAATTTGTGATTGCGGCTTCACCAACCTCAACGCCCTCCATCATAACCTTTGATTTCTTTTCCACAGCTAGCCTCCATCCACTTTCCTTTCTGCCTTTCCTTTCCATCGAACTCACAACAGAACTCTGCTTTAGCCCGCTCACACTACACACATTTTATTTGATCCACCTTGTTGTCACCCATTTTCCACTCTTTATGACGTCGTAAAACAAAGTTGTGGCTTGTTTTGTTTGTTAACTGTGTTTTAACGCCGCAGTTCGCGTTGCGAATGTTGCGTTGCGTTGCGAAAGCGAGGTGTCGTGACTTCCGTACGACTCACCTAAAGGGTCGCGCCTGGTCGGGTGTGCGCGGGTCCTGGCGCGCCCGCGCTGTCGAAGTCTCTCGAAGAACGTCAGGGACGCAGAGTGCACGCGCCTCGCCTGTCTCAGTCTACGTGCTGCCGCCGTCGAGTGTAGCCGCTGGCCGTTGCTGTCTGTTGTCGCCACTTGTGCTCCAGTGTTCGTACGTCAACGAATGGTTCCGGGCATGGATGCCCGTCGAAGAACATCGGAGCCGAGCCACGTCATCCCCGCGTAAGAAGCACTTCTGGGTTCGACCCGTGAGTCTAGGGTAGTAGCCGTATTGTGTTGTAGTCGTTTATTTTTTCATCGTAGTTTCAAGATCATATGAATCTATGGTTTATTTTCTTGTAGTGTTCATAATCGTAGCGGTTTAGCCGCACCATACTATCTATTTAGTAATATAATTAGTGTGTTCATAGTCGGTATAACGCTCGTAGGCCGGGCCATAAATTCCTCGTAGCTAGCTAGCAATGGGACAGTAATATCTCGGCGTAGTCCATGGCACTGCAATACGTAGCGGATCTTGGCGTACTGCCAGTCGGGGCTGCTCAGGCCTATTAGGTGTCCGCGTGGCATAGTGGCGGGCAGCGAGCGCGGCGTAAGTCCCCGTAGCTACCCTCACGCCGACACCGACGCCGCTCCTTCGCCGGGTGAACCCCGATGCTTATGCGACTAGCGGGGAGCAAGGCGTCCGTGCCGGCGCGACACGCAGGGGGTGCGGGTTCTAGTCCCGCCTGGGGCGAAAGTTTTGTTCACAAACAAAGTTGTGGGTTGTTGCAGTAGAGGAGGTAAGCAAACCAGCCCTTTTGGCGTTTCGGCTGGGACCGTATGCTGAATGTTGGGGAGGGGATGGGGTCCCCAACGGTCGACGGTTTACTTCAACTCGGTTGGTACGATAGGAGAGTACTGACGCAAGTGGTGCAGCTGGTCCAGCAGCTCCGCCAGAAGGGCTGGTTTGCTCACCCCAGGACTAAGCCTTGGAGAGGGGACGGACCCGTCCTCTCTTTAAGGCTTAGTTCTGAGGTAAGCACCAAATTGTGGCGGTTCTAAGGACCGAGTTGAAGTGGTCCGTCCACCGTCGGGGACTCCATCCCCTCCCCAACATTCAGCATACGGTCCCAGCCGAAGCGCCAAAAGGGCTGGTTTGCTTACGTCGTATAGAGACCACCCCGTTGTTGACTCCACTTTCCTGTAAGCACGGCTTCGCGAATTCCGGACACGCTCACCATTCCGTAGAAATTGCTCGTCCAAGCTACTCTTTTTCTGACGTCTAGGCTTAAAAGGTGCTATTTGTTTTTTTTTCTTACCCAGACGATCCTTTTTCTTGACGCCAATCTATGGAACACCTCGCTCTGCCGCGAGTGAGTAACTTAACCTCATCCACTAAACCAGTCCTCACTTATGGAGACTTCTGGCCTATACCGGCTACTCTGATCCCGATTCAGTGATTCTGCCTTTGACACCGTCCATTTCGGTGAGAGCCTGGCCCTTTGTGAATAAGGCTCATTTTGAAATTTTGGCCCATGGCCCTTGAACAAACAAAGCCAAACAAACCTGGCCTCCGTAGGTAGACCACAGGGTAATGCCGAATTTCATGCTTTGGTTCTGGCCTCACCCACCTGGGTGCACGCCCGCCCCGTGTCAGCACTTGAACTTTCCTCTATCGATAGTCCCTATCCACATTTCTTCTCGGCCAATCGACTGTCCCAGAACCCCAATTTTTTCTATAATATCCTCTCCCCCTCCTACCCAGGCGCACGCTCCGCCCTCTATAAACCTGAGATTTCTCCTATTTTACTGTTCTTAATTCAGCACTTCTCTTGACTCTCTGGGAGAATTGGGCTCCTTTCCTAACCTACGAATGAAGCTTTCGAAAAATGACAAAGTTGCTCTAAAAGCAAGCTAGTAAACGAACAATCCCACGGTGCTTTCTTCCCTTCGAATTTTCCGGGTTAGTCTTCTCAAAACGTGAGTTCCTCTTCTCGAATGGCCACAACTTTCTTCGAAATTGTTCATGAAAAGAAACTCTACACAATTCTTCAAGGGCGACTACTGTCAAAAAGACAATGCCTGTTCTAAGAAGTGAGAGCAGGGTTAGCAAAAATGTAAGGCCACCTCCCATTACTAGATTTCAAGCATGACTGACTTTCCCGGGGCATCACCGATACATGTTGACTTATCAGGGCATATTTTTTTTTCCGTTGAGCACTAGTTTCAGATCTGTACTTACAAATTTATGCTCCATACTATGGGTTTTTGAAAAAGAATGAATGAGCCTAGAATGCAGCACATTGATCCCTCACACACCGAGACTTTGCATTCTACACATATACAATTGAGCATTATCATCGTCCTTGCGGTCATTGGTACTATACCTGCGAGCCAAGGCGCTGACCCCTTCCATATCACGCAAAAGAATTCTACAAAAAAGGCACTGCAGAAACTATAACATTACCTAAATATGATAAACCTTCCTTAATGAGCTGTAATATAACCAATTTCGAATAACGAGAATATCCACCTAAAGACGTGAGGAATACTTTTTATTTTAATAACGTTATTTTAAAAAATATATATACAAACAAAAACGAAAACAGCAACATTACAACGACGATCGAAAAGGTACAATCCTCGGTTACATTCTCATCACTTCCACAGCTTCTGAGAAATAAGATTCGTACGACCTATCACTCGAAATGTCATCTGATGTCCATCACCAAAACACTTCACTTCTTTAGAAATGTCCGAAAAATCGCAAGCAGCCAACGGGTCCTCCACAGCGGCCAGGACCCAAAGGCTATCCTTGAACTTGTGAATCTTACAGCGTATTGAAGTGGTGCCGGCTAAAGATCGAAAAAGTCGTCATCAGAATCCATGGTGAAATGCAATGCTTTCGATGGGTGTGACTTGAGCCTGAAAATAAGTAACGTTGTGGGCGAACGTGACACTTTATCTAGTTCAGTTCCTCTTAGTAAGCCACTCAAGACTCCGAAACTAATTAACACGTTGGTGGCAGCGCAGGACACATACTTCCGCGCAGGCCATGACGGACAGCGCGGTACGTGTGTGTCGTGCACCTACTGCCTACATTTTTTCGCGCACGCGCGATTCATTTGAAGGAATCCTTCACGGAAAAATCATGATTCTATTTCAGCCATAAATCACTGGCTTGAGACTCATTATCCACGATAAGAATGAAAAGAACAGAAATATTGCTTTTGTTTTGGTAAAAAATTCGAAAAATCGAAAGGGCTGCTACGCGTTCAAAGTGCCCACGGACGTCTTTCACAAATGCTGGCGACGGGGATGCTTCCACTTGGTTCTTGGAGTGCCTTCACTAGAAACTCTTTCTGGCCTGCTTTATTGCATTCACATCTTACACTTCTACTCCATCCTATTCTATCGATCGATTTGTCTCTACTCGAAATCGCGCGCTTTAACCCGATTCTTTCATTGCGTCGCCTGATACGTAGCCGGCCAAAGGCCAACTTCTTTCCATGCCTCGCCTTTGGCTCCGCCCGAATTACCTTCGATTGTCCATAGAGTGTAGTTTTTGTACGTTTGTTTCTCTTCGGAAACCGAATCTTCATGCGTGAAACTTTGTGTGCTGTTTCCAGTGATCACAACTGACACATTCATGTCAAGAAAGAATGCAAGAATTTTCCGCGAAGGATTCCTTTAAATTTATTGTGTTTATCCCATTGAAGAAACCCTAGCATAGGTAGAAACATGGTGGCCTAAAGAGTTGGCGCGCACGTTCCGATGCAGAGCAGGATTTCTGAACTTGCCGAAATCTTTGGTTTAATAATCTTTTCGTTTACTTTTTCTTTTTATGTATGTGAAGATTAAAGATTAGTAGAAGTAGATACGGAACCTAAGGGATGACAGACCATATTTTTTGGTTGAAACAATCGAGATAAAATTGTTTTTGAGATCCGCTGCAGCTTTCTCTGACCATATTTGAACCAAAATTCCACTACTGCACTTTTTGATAGCTTCAACCCACTAATAGTTACCGATTGATTTGCATTGCCCATGTTCTGTGGATTAACCACTCAAATCTACTTGAATGACCTGGAGCGGCCGCGCTCGTAATGTCGCACCGGTCCCACGCGGTCAAAAAAAAACGCGCGTTGCCGTTGTTAACGTATTGAGCAATTTTACGACAAGACTATTTTGGTGAATCAACGCAAGGAAGAGATCGTCACCATCGAGCGAAAGAACACACTAAGCTTAAAGAAAGAGATAAAGAAAGAGATAGAGATTGAGATAAAGAATGATGAGTTTTGACGCTTGGAATAGCAAAAGTTGAAAAGAAAACTGTACAATTAATGACCACGACCATTTCAGTCTGCTCCTTGTAGCCAGAAAAAAAAGAGAAAGTCAAACCTTGAGGAGGATCCCTTAGGTAAACTGGAAGATGATGACGGCACTGATGCGGCTATAGACTTTTCCTGAGGAGTCCTTGATGAAGTACTACGAACGCTACTGCTTGGCCCTGTACTCCTAGATGTTCGAGCGGAATCCAATTTCGAAGTGGCAACCGATGAATGTTTCGGTGTTTTGGAAGACGTGATATCTCGACTACGGTGTCGCAGTTCACGAGAAGATTGTTTTGTCCGTTTTCTTGGCGCTTCTGGAATTAGTGAAGGTTATTAAATTCCGAAGTGTACCATCACGATAATGATTGAATGATGCTTCAAAAGAAAAAAGGTGAAATGTTTTAGGAGGTTATGAGAAATGGAGGAGGATTAGTCAAGTCGCAGTCGCACACTGACGACAGCCCGACGCGCATACGCTTCAGATTTTCATGCAAGTGGGAATAATTTCGCTAAATCTATTTGGTATTTTTGGAAATACGATAAGCGTAAGTGGTTTCTTCAAGAGCGTAGAAAAGGAACTCACTGAATAGGACAAATGAGTGAGCTTCAGGCGTGTCTGATAGGGTTTTAGCGCAGATTTTTTCCCTGCATGTGGCCGCATGATTAAGGCACATAGAATCAAAATGCACAACGAAACTGTGTCTTTTAAAATATTTTATAGACAAAAGGCAAACCAATTCGGAATGCCTTTCAGTGAGCCTCATGATTTCAGAAGGTGGTGAATACCGTCTACACTGAAATGGCGTCTGCGGACTACTTGAACTCAGTCCTTTGTACCGCCTCAATTTGATGCTCCCGCCTGCGCTCTCTCGCTTGAACAGCGGCTCATGACTACTGTGATCTTTCACATTCAAAGTTTTGCCATACTGTAATTGCTTCACATTTCCCTCGAGTCCCTCCCCATTCGAGCCTTACCAGGAAAGGTCATTTGGTCAACCCGGCCATTTGAAATGAGATGTATGTGTATACGCGCCTTGGGACGCTGAGCTCAAATATGTGTTCCTTATCTGCTGAACTCTTCTCTGAAAGGAATTATGAAGCAGAAAAGCGCAGGGGCTGTGGTCGAGGCTCACGAAAAAGAGGTCAGGGGATCAACTCCCTGGCGAGTTTGTTCTTTTGCCGTTTGCAGTAAGATAGCTAGGAAGACTCCTAACATCGCTAGTCCAACATGCTTGCGTATAGTTAACAGTACAAAGAATTTAAGGGCAATTAATAACGAACTTGGGCGGCATCGCTCCTCACTACTTTGGGCGCTTGTAGCGCAGGCGCCAGGCATTTTTGCTTCGAACAAGTATGATATTCGTAATCAGGGAGTCCAGACTCTCCCTTTGAGCGAAACTTCTAGCGAATTCTGAAATTTTGACCTAACCTCGAAAATTTGGGCAGTCACTTACCGATCCACCAATCCATTACAAAAGGCTGGCACTTGGGTAGAATAAACCTTTTAAACACTTTTCATAATAGACAAAAATTGTGTCTGGCTTGCCCGTCTGCATCATCCAAAGATCTGCAAACCATTATTTCCTAATACAACACCTTCTCTCCCCTTTCCCCCGTCGTCCATGATTGGTCAACCCAAAAAAGTGGAGTTTGAGGAGTGGTAATCCCATCACTGCTCCGCTTTTTCTCAATTAGTTCATGCCTCAGATTTGGCGAAAAACTCGTTTTTAGGGGTAGTTTGATCCCCTGAATACGAATATCGTACCTACTTGCCACGGAAAAGCATAGCACCTGCACTACGGGCACCATGGCACTCACAGACAAGTAGTGCTTAAGTTTAAGAGGGTCAGCTTGCAAACTCTTCGTAGATGTAGCGTCGGGCGACCATTGGTAAAATAACAGATTCAAAAAGGCTTTTCAGCCATGTTGGAAAAAAAGCAAAACAACAAACCCCGTAAGGGACCGAACCCCCGACCCCCTCCGTGAGAAACACGACCGCTACCAACTGCGCTACCGAAGCTCACTCACCAGTGCCTCGGTTCTCCTTTCGATACTTTTATAATGCGGCTAACATGTGATTGCAGGCAAAACACTGAAAATCAAGGGCGGCAACAAAAACCCTCCGTAACTCCTTTCAGAGAAGAGTTCAGCAGATAATGAAAGCAGATTTGAGTTCAGCGTCTCATGCTGCGTACAGAAATGTGCACCTCATTTCATTTGGCCGGGTTGGCCTAATGACCTTTCCTGGTTAGTCTGACAATGAGGACTTCCCCCTTCCTCTATGGGATTTGAAGCCGAGAGAAAGAAGCTAGGCACCCCTCTCCGTCTCGTCTGTGCTCCAGCTGTTCGCGGCTGAACCATTGAGGAAAGGACTATTGAGGAGAGTTCAAGTATTCCATAAACCCAAGGATATGGCGCAAAAATCTCGGCACTGAGGGAAATCGAAAAACAGCAAAAAATTCCTTCCTATTTTGCAGATCATGCTAAACCATGAACGTAGCTAATGGAAGAAGGGAACACCAGCATGCCATTAATAAATAGTGAAATTCTCAAAAAGCCAACCTTTTGTACACTTCAGTTCCGAAGCATCAGTAGGAATACTGTCAAGGAATGAGAACTCGGAGAATTCTGAAAAAACCATGAACTAACATTTGTGTTCTAGATCAAATTAATTCCGCAGGCAGGTCCGAAACTGAATTTTTAGGGCTAGGGAATACCTAACATCCGAAAATTCAGTTTCGGATTCTGTACATATATGCCAGTCGTCGAAAAGTGGCGTTATCCGCCTACCTAGATTCTTACAAAGATGATAGGTGACTTTGTGTACAGTCTGAGAACAACTCGGCCGAAAAATAAAACAATTTTAGCTTTTTTTCTCTGTTTATGTGGTAGTTTTTTTTTCATTCGCGTTAAGGTCTATCAAACTTTTTTTCTGTATAAGCTGTACTTGTTGTGTCCGGAATAGCGCACCTACGCGTGCATCCAATGAATAAACAAATAAATTTGACAAGTAAACCGACATAGAAAAAATAGAAGAAAAAGCTCATATTATTAAGCATAAAGTGAGTATGTTACCCTGGAATGAGAAAAGTGGCTCAAACTACACACTTTTATTAAATGGCTCTCGCTGCACAGAAACGGAATACCAACGGATTCTGACCGAGAAACACTATATTTCCAGCAGGAGTCTCACTCTTTTAACGGATAACATGTGCCCAAAGGAGTACTTGAATCATATGGTGTTGTTTTACACACAAACAATATAAGAGCACTTCGATTAGTGCATATGCACATCACGGTACACATTTCCCAGAGCAATAAAAACTATGGTTTCTTCTAACATACAACTCACTTGCAGACCATCCACACGCAGATTTTTTGCTTCCTGCGTCAATGATTCTAGTGACTTCTCCGGACATAGGGACCTGGTGGGAATTAGTCAAATGCCGTGGTTCAGAGGTCTTGACATCGTCATCAAACTCCGACAAAATCCCTAACAAAACAGATACTGTGCGACAAAGTCATATAGTAGAATCAGCAAGAAATTCGCAATTGTGTTACTCACCTTTCACCGGTGTATTGAAGAGGTCTGGACTAGGTGATTTGCTAGTCGTGGCCTTCGGGCTGCCGCCTACAATGTTCTGAGACTTCCCGAGCAGGTTCTAAACAAAGAAACTGAACATAATCAGCTTATGAAGAGCAATGAAATTTTGTCATGAAATTGACCATAATCAAACGTATTCAAATAGCATACATCTAGTTCCATGTGAATAGTTTTAATCGATGTTGCATCAACAGTTTCAGGAGCATTTTGCGCTTTTCTGACAGATGGTGAATCTCGATAACTTTGGGCTGTTGGCTCACCGTCCTAAAGATGTGAAGGTGCATATTTAACGAATATTCGAATAATTCATGAAGTAAACCTCTGCTCTCATAGTTTGCTGAATTTCGATTTTTGTTGCTAAAGGAGTGCTTGTATGCAGTAACTCAGCCTGTATTGGGCCCAAGAATTCCATATCATCGTCCATTGGATCCTATTAAAGAATATGTCTCATGTGCCATTCATTAAAAACAAAAATGACCTTCACTATTGTCAGCGAAGCCATCGGCAAAGGAAGGAGCACCACAGATACCATAGTATTTGTATATCTCTTAGTATTGTGCTGTCCCGGAGCCTCATCAGGACCTAAATGTTGTATAACACAGAGAGGCACCAAAATTTTATTTCAAAAGAATTCCAAAAGTTCACAAAATTGTTCAAAATTCCAAAAACTCCAAAATTTGAAAAAAAGGAAAGCAAGTTGAAAAGAATCCCTTCGAAATCCTATATTTCGGTGTATAACACCTTCTTCAGGCCTGAAATACATTGATTATAACTGGTATAAGAAATTTGGTGGTTTCCCCAAACCCATATAGATACCCACATGTGTTTGCCACAGCCAAGGATAAAGCTGCCCTTACGGGAGCCGCGCCGTTGGAGTAGAATAAATGACTTACCCTTCACCTCTGCTTAAATATAATAGTAGCGGACGAACTGTGATGGTCATTGCAAATGATATTGAAGATTTTCCCAAGGCCACGTAATTTCCAATATCACTTGCGTTGACCATCACAGTACGTCAGCTACTATTAAAGGACGAATTCACGATGGAAAAAGCAACCCATTTCAAATTAACCTAGAGATGGTGAGTGGTACACGAAAGAAGGAAAAACTGAGAAACGGCCCAGAACCCGAGAAATGGGACCCCTTCCTTGCCCGTTGATTTGCGCATTGATGCGACTCTCATCAACACTACGCTCTCTCTGCTATCTAATCACTCGCCACGTATAGACCTGCGGCGAGTGATTAGATAGTCGGTGGGCGTACCCCGCCAACCGCGCCAAGAGTGAGCCATGCTAGATCGCCGAGGTCAAATCTTTCGCTGCCAATTGCGCGTCGGTCAGCACCCTCAGGAGGTCCGCCTGTCTCCCAACTAGGCAATTTCCCCTTCTTCGACCTTCGTTCTTATCGTGAATTCGTCCTTTAAGCAGAGAGTGAAGAATAAGTCATTTAGCTATACTCCAACAGCGCGGATCCCGTGAAGGGCAGCTTTAACTTGGCTGTGGCAAACACATGTGTATCTAATATGGGTTTGGGAAACCACCTAAATTATTATACCTACTATAATCAATGTATTTCAGGCCTGAAGAAGGTGTTATACACCGAAATATCGCGGAAGATTTCAAAGGAATTCTTTTCAAATTGCTTTTTGTTTTTGGAATTTTGGAATTTTCGAATATTAAAAAAATTTGTGAACTTTTGGAATTCTTTTGAAAAAAGTTTTGGTGCCTCTTTGTGTTATACACCAATCTGTAATTGAATAGTTTAAAAAGGCCAGACCCACCTCCTTATCCACTCCTGAATGCTTGTGAATGCGCTGCTTGCTGCTCTTACTGAAGGATTCTCAGCTATAACTATATCCCTGATGCGAGTCATAAGTCCTCCTTACATAGTTTTCGTAACTAGCGGGGAAATGGTAGTAGATCGCGCTCGCCTCTCGCTGGTCGAGCAATAGTGATCTTGTCTATCGCTGTTACTTGATGGCCGAACTTTCAACAAATTTTTCTTTCTTGTAAGACGGCCTGCACTTGGAAGCATGAAGATCTGCAGACGATACTGGCTTCGGATTTGATTCCAAACACTGTCCAACAGGACTGTTGAGCAGAGAATCACCTGATTTTGTTTTGACATCAAAACTGCTCCCATAACAACCAATTCCACCTTCCACAACACTACCTCGCTTGGAAGAGTTGCTCACGGGCCGCCTGCACGCTTCACTCTGGATTCTTTGTTGTTGACGCGTTGTCGTTTCACGAGAGGACGTTCAATAATCATCAATGTCGATATCGATCGCCTTTGCGAGCATCTCTAACTGAAAGAAAAATGTGCGTAAATGTATGTGTTAGAACGCACAAAACAGTAAATTCAAAAAAAAAGTAGGTCATACGAGGCATCGATTTCTTCGTATAAATTATCATTACATCGGAAACATTAACAGTTTCACGTCCAGCATGCCTGTAAAAGAGAATGGCTCAAATTGTGCAAATGTTAATGACAGCAGTCGAATACAGAAAAAGCTTAAGTCATTCGAAAGTGAGGAGCATGAAATGCATTGGATTTCTTCGGTGTTCAGCTATCTAACAGCGACTCAAATCCTGCGTCATTTTTTCGAGTTTTCTTATGCGAAGTAAGTGTTCCCGATGCTAACCGATCAGATCAATACTGGGGCAAATAAAAACTGCTCGATAAAATCGCGCTCTGCGGACTCCTCGCCAAACAAAACGTCCTAACTCCCCTCGCTCCTGAGATGCTAACATGAACCTGAGGAGAACCAAGAAAAAATATTGAAAGAGTCAATTGTCAGTCTAGAAACATTTTTAATGAACGCAATTATTATATCGAACGCACATGGCCCTAGAGTCTGGCACAAAGCTTGAACAGGAAAGACATCCAATTCCAATATCGAGCAAATTCTGGGACGGATTTGTCGCTCCTTCGACTAACTTTACCACACGAATCTTCAGAGGCGTCGCCCACAATCATGATTTGAATATACGTCTCTCGGTCAGCTGAGAGTAACCCCGTGGCACATGCGGGTGCACGTCACAAAACCATGTTAAAAATTTTTCTCCCTTCCTCAGATACCGGCCCTTCTGAATATTTATCCTAAAGAGCCCTAGTTGATTCCTCGTGGTGACAAAAGTTTTGCTTTCGAGTTGCGGTTCCAAACACACTGCGAGCTCAATAGTTCACATGATTAAGAGGTACCCTTCCCGCCTCGCCTCCTATTCATGATTACGGGAGCCGTTCAGTGTAACCCTTACAAAAAGACTTTGACCTCCAAAAATGGTGTAAGAGGTGTGACACCAAAGCAGCCCCACTGTGGTGTCACACCTTTTTCACACCAGTTTTTTAATCAAAGTCTATTTGTAAGGGTTACTGACGGTCCTAATCATGAATATGGTACTAATTATTCATGCTAACTCCATTTTGCGCGAATTTTGGAACGTCAACTCGAAATGCAAAAATTTGTCACCACGAGGAATCGAACTAGGGACCCCCTTTTCTGGTATTCAGAGGGCCGTTCAGGAAAAATTAAACATGGTTCTGTGGTTCCCGCATGTGCCCCTATATCACTATACAATAGAACAGAAATGAACCGTTTTCAAAAAGCTTGGCACCCTGAAACACCATTCCTGGTTAGAACCCATTTGCAGCTAAAATGCGCGCAAAAACGTGCAATCGAACGGCAGCTTCAGTAAGATACTATCCGATTCTCAAGATACTGCTGCATCGCCGTATTCGTACACAAGATATGGTGATCAGCGAACGCCGAAGCGGCGAATCTCCGAGTCGAGAGATTTCTAATAGGGTATTAAGTTCTCGGAAGCCCTGAATTCCCGTGGCAAAATGGGCCTTACTGGGTGATATATTCGGACCCCGGACTAAAGTAACACGACATTCCAGACTTTCCTTGTCAACGGGATCTGCCCATGACCATCCTACTTGCGCAACAAGCCCTACTTAATTTGGACAGCCTTTTTTGAAGAGTAGATCTAGTGACAAACACTTGTGTAAAATACAAAAGCACATTTCTTCATAATTAACCATTTTGTGTCCCATTAGGCACCGCTTGCGCCCGCTCCATAGTCCGTAAGCTTTCACTGATTCAAAACAACGCCAAGTATATAATAGCTCTGACATAAATCTGCTGATCTGAAGTTGTGCTGCAGATAGCCGCGCGACGGGAATACAAATACGAGTTGTACCCCCTTAAGCTTGCGCCGGGAATAAGCTGGAAGTTGCGTCGCGTTGTAACATACTGCCTGTGATCCGATATAATATTTGAAAGTAATCAGCATGGCTTAATGTATCATTTCAGATGACGCCGCTTTCATCAATTTCTGCCACATATATGAACACGAGTATGGCACGAGTATGGTAAAAATCATTAACAAACCTCGAAAATTCCAGCAGATCCGAAGTCCAGTCATCGCTCACCGTATCCCAAACCAAGGCGCTTACGTGAGCGACAACGTCCGGATCGAACTCAATTTCCCCTAAAAGATAAAAAAAAAGAATCTATGAAAAGAAAAAGGTATTAACGAACATTTCACAGAGAACCACAATAGGAAGCAGATGCAGCAACTGCAACTGTCATTAGAACCAGATACCGCCCTTTCAACTATTAACCCATCAAAAACTTACGACACAGGATTTCGCTCACTGACCTCCAAGCATCCTAAATTCTTCCGAGACATCATCAGCAGATTTCAGTACGGAAACCTGTATAGATTTTTGAAGTTCCTGCAATTATGTGAACGATCCTATACCATACGCCATAAAGTGGTGGTTCAGGTACAAAACATTTTAGATAGCCAATGAGGTGCGCACAAAACGTCTTCCTCCATGAAACGACAAAGATCGCGCAGGAAATATACTTTATTGAGTCAACAATAACAAAAACAAAAACAAAAGAAGGCAGCACTACTAGTAATTGTTACTTGGCCGTGTCATCCGGTAGGCAACGCTTGAGCGATAATAAATACGGTAATTCAGCATCTCTTTGCTCATCTTTAAGAATACACAAATCATCCATAATATAATCAAATTCAGAGATAAATTCGCATGTGAATCTGCTGTCATCCTCTATGAACTCAATAAATCGATCCAAACTACCTTTTCGTTTGGGACTGCAAACATATACAACACCTTTTTGGGCAAGAAACCTATCAAAAGTATTTACCAAATCTTCATGATATTCTGAGAAAAATACACAATCTGCGGCTAAAATCAAATCAAACTTCTTTTCTTCAGTTCCAGCTCCCCATCTCAGCTGCTCGATTTCCACGTTCGGAAGGGGGTTTCGCTTCGCAATATCTCTCAAAGACGCTACAGAATGCTCATTGCCGTCCGTAATCCTGACCCGTGTTGCATATATGGCAGCAATAAAACCCGGAAGTCCAACAAGCCCTGCTCCCAGTTCCAGTACCAATTTACCCGACACAAGAGGTGGTCGGATCGACAAGTAATAGGCGAGAGCCTCACCTCCAGGCCATATGCGCACATTGCCGGTGTTGTCGAATCCTGATATATGACGAAGCGAGGTCCGATCCTCCGGCAGAGCTATGTCAATACAAAACGGTGAGTCACGCACACATAACGAGTACACATCGTCCTCTGCTTCTGAATCTGATGACGTCATCGAGAAAAGGCGTAATGTCGAGCGAAGGCTGCGGTCGGACTTCTTCGCGCGACGCGGCGGCCGAGTAGACCGTCGCATCTTTTCGGCGAGGCAAGCCCAGTTGCCGCGTGCTCGTCGACTCTAAAACGGCGCTCGAAATCGTTTTTATCGAAACAACTAAAACCCCAAATATCCAAAATGTAATTGTATATTTATGAAAACTTTGATCAAAATCTGCTAGTGAAATTCATAAGATCGATGTTGATATCCTTTCAGTACCTACTTATAAGTGGCCGTCCCTTGCCGTGCTAACAAAGGAAAAATTATGCATTGTCACAAACTGCAATACAATGCAGGTGCTACTTGTCACGACACATCCAATTCGCCTTCGACGAGTAGCTCCAAGATGGTCAAATTTCCAAGGTCGGTTTATGATTTTATATACGGATGTGGTCAAATTTTTCGCTCATGTAATCCAAAAGGCGCGCCCAGAAGTCTATGTATCAGGAGCACTTTGTAGCTTGAAATGTATCGTTCGCTTCATATTTTGAACTCCCCACATTTGAAATTTTACTGGAATTTTGGTCACAATGAACCTGTATGGAACATGAACACAGGCGACTGCCAGCAATGATTTCAATACCGAAACCTTGCATGCCACCGTCCTTCAAAGGCCTCACTAAACCAGGATACGTAATCTTCTCGAAAGTCTTCAAGGAGTTCCGCGGAAAAAAACTCTATCTTGGTGAACAAGAAGGATATACCTATTGTAATCAATACTAAAGGTAACAAATATAAATATCCTCAATTTTTTGCAGGTTCCGAAAACAACAATACTAGCAACAACATCACACATGCAGAAGGGCGCTTTTTCGAATGGCTTCTTGCATGATAAACCACCCAGTTCCGCGAAATGGTCCTCTTAATGCCAAAAAGGGGTAAAAAGTGGACCGATACGTCGTGTGAGAAAATTACATATTTGGAGTTAAAGCAATAAAATTAGCTCACAGTGTTAGCGCCATACAACGGATGTTATATTTACAATCAAA